ATTAGTTTAATTAGCATTATTATTGAGTGATGATATAAGTACATAATATTGTATATAGGGGTGTACATAACACTCACATTATGTTGGACCCACCAAAAATAAAAAATCAAATGGACTCCACTCCATGTGAGTGTTATGTACACCTCTATGTACATTTATTATGTACGCAGAGGCAACATATACTGAACTTATTTTAATGCTCGTCTTGCACAAGATTTTGGCACTTGTTGTTAAGCCTTGACCTCTTTTTTCTTTTCTACCTCTTTTTTCTTTTCTTTTTTAATAATCGTCGACCTGGTCAGTTTTGTCATTTAATTTTTTTTTTTTTTTACATCCTGAAGAGCACTTATAAATTATACATATCAATATTTTATAGATCATTGGTATAAAATTATCTAAAAAAACATAAACAAAATCCAAACATCACATATGTAATTTAGATAAATGGTATACAGATAAAAATGTCACATATACTGAAAAATATACTAACTATAAACGCAATATGATATAGTTAAAAATATTATGATTCCCATCTTGCAAAAGATTTGACGTTCGTCGTTAAGCTTTTGACCTCATTTTTCGTTTAATTGCCGAACCAGTCAGATTTGTGTTCATGTTTTCAGTTGGGTCGTCGCTTTCGACGATATTTTCGCAAACTTCCATCTCATTCATGATGAAGCGGCGCCGCGACTGAAGGTGAAGACACCTCAATCATAATGTTGTTGGCATCGTCTTCGATAAATAGGAGACAGAGACAACAGGTCGACATAGTGTATGTGCGCGCGTCCTGGCCGTTCTTACTGCCGCCGAGCAAGCACTCGACCGCCTTGGGCTTGGCCTTCTTCATCGCCGGGAAAATTGGGTTACGGCGACGTCGGACGATCGATGGTGGAATAAGAGGATAATCAATTGAGTCAAGAAGAAAAAAAGACGAAAGAGGGAGGGATGAGAATAAAAAGAAGAAGAAGAACGATGTAGAGAGTGGGAGGAGAGAGTGTTGATGGAATTTAATTAAGAGCTTGTTTTGAAACACTTTTCAAATGGACTTTTGGATGCAAAAGTCCATTTGGATAAATATTTATGTTTGGTGCTAAGTTATGAATGGACTTATGGATAAGTTATTTCTCTAAAAAGTTCATTATGTAGAAGTAAATGATAAAGACTTATGGAGAAGTCCATTTTGGAGAAGTCCATATCTTAAATGGACTTTTTGAGAAGTGTTCCCAAACAAGCACTAAATCTGCTCATATATAATTCAGTTATTGTCGTGCCTAATAAGTATTATGCAAATAAAAATGTCATTTTTTTTTTTAGTTTTGTTAATAAGCATACATGAGTTGTATATCTGCAATAAAAATGTGTTGGGTTAGTTATGTAATTTTCTCAGGATATAATTCTAATTGGATTTGTATGTATAACATTGAATTTCGATTCGATCCGGTTAATCAAACACTTATATTCAAACTGAAACGAAAAAAAAAAAAACATAACTCAGAAACCAAACCACTTAAAGATTTGGTTTCCACTCCGATCCAAACCGATATTCAATACCAAATTTCGATTTGAGTCGGATTGACTCGGTTAACCATATTTTGTGAATCCTAGCCATTCCAATACCCAAATTACAAAACTAGGAGGTATCACTAAATACCGTATTCTATTATATTTAATACTTTTCGCACTTTTTTGAACTTTATGCAATGTGTATTGACTACATAGATTGAACCCAATTCAAGATTTAAAGCATGTATAATTATTTGTACCAAAAAAAAGAAAGCATGTATAATTATCAAAAAAAGAAAAGTCATTTGCTATACCGTAATAAAGTATCCTTTAGGTTATTAGGTAGTTTGAATTTTTGCATGTAGAATGTTTGTGTCCCCATTTAAAAATCGCTTTAAAGATTAGACACACCATGTTTATCGATCTTCGGTAGGTGGTCGGTTAAACACTAGTGACTTTATATAAAAACAGAGACTTTGGCAGATTGCAAGAATCAAGTAAAATTTTAAAAAAAAAATATTATTCAATCTGCATCATCATATTTTGCATTTTTATTATTTTTTTTTGTGGTAGCCAGTCACGGTATTTTGTGGTAGCCAGTCACGGTATTTTTTGTGGTAGCCAGTCTCGAGACCTTGCTTAAGCGATATCAAATTACTTACCACTTGAGCCAACCTGTGTTGGTTGCTTTTTTTATTTAATTATTAGTCTCATTTGATCTAATAAGCTTCAATCAAGCCGTAAACTAATCACCTTCAAGTAAATTATTGGTGTATACGTATTTTTATGCATATTTTTTAAAGTAGATCTAAGGCTGCACGACGTAATAATTGTTCAGTCTAAATGATTTAATTAATTTAATTTTGATGATTAAAAAGTCTACATAGATTCGAGTTCTAATTTTGGAATATTTTTGGTGTGAAAGAGAGACAACTGCCAGTAACAATCATTTTTTTATTTATTTTTTGCTTGGAAAATAAAGGGTAAAAGACAAACCACCCTATAATCTCGTACTGCGAACGAAAAATGAGCATATATAAAACAAATAAATAAATATACGACAGTTAAATTTAAAAAAAAAAAATACTAAATATTGAGCTACTCACCAATCCTAATTAAGGGAGATGCTACAGTCCCGTTACAGAACCATTCTGTCTGAGTTTGTAATCGTTAGATCATCACGTAACCGTCGGAAAGAATTGATCTAACGGTTACAAATCTCGACGGAATGATTTAATTGCTTCATTTTAATCTCCAACATGCACCCCACGTTCATACAGCATTTCACGTTCAAGAGAAATTTGTAAAGGATAACAAAAGGCAAATCAAAAAGAGAACAAATCACACCTGCAAATTCATTTTCTCCTCTAACCAAATTCATCCTTCTTTTCTTTTGTGGGGCCAACATTCTTGGAAGAAGAAAAAAAGACAAAGAAAATAACCCTTTTTTTTTTTTCCTAAATCCCATCAAAAATCACTATAACATTTCGGTCCCCTGTTTCGAAATTCCGAATTGCTATGATCAGTTTCGCTCCGGTTGTCGTCTCCGTATTCATTACATCCTAAGAAGAACAAAAAAAAAAGAAAAGATAATGGTGAGAGCTTTGGAGGACGAAAGAGAAATGTACAAATCGAGGCTGGATTATATCAGGGGAATGCACGGTGAAGGGGGAAGACCGAAATCGAGGAGCATGACCTTCGAAAGCGATGGCTCGACTGCTCAAGCTGATGATGATAGGATGACAACGTCAAGAAGCCATGGCTCTTTAACGCTACACGATCACGAGCATTTGGAGCAGAACAAAACCGACAAGATCAAGTCTCGCCTGGCCAATGACGGGAGCTCGACAAGTCCTAATGGAAGACAAATTTCAGGCAAGGAAATTAGTTAAAAAAGTTAATTTGTCTTGGAATTTTCTTCTTTTTTTTTTCGGGTTTTGTTTTTTTACAGATTTTGCCGTGTGCTTGTATGTTTTCATCGATTTGTTTTGATACATTTTGTTGTTATTCATATGGGATGTGTGTTTTAAGTGTCCGGCGATTTTATGCCATTTTTGCTTCTTTTTTTTGTCGTTTTGCTCATGACCCATTGGCCAGGTCGTGAGTAAAGATAGTCTAAAGTTTCTCTATGAATGGATATAATCATGACCTTTATAACCTATAAAGTTTCTCACATTTTTTGGGTTATTTATAATCAAGAAGAACAAAAGGAAACACTTTTTGGGTTATTTATAATTTGCAGCATTTTTACATTATTAAATTAAAAGATAAATGTAGTATTTTAATTAATTATTTACATAATTTACACTAAATCTCACATTTGAGTACATGGTGCATGTTGTAGATATGGAGTTGATGAAAGAAAGATTTTCAAAGTTGCTCCTCGGTGAGGACATGTCCGGTGGGGGAAAAGGAGTTTCTTCGGCTTTGGCGTTATCGAACGCAATCACAAACTTAGCAGGTACATATCTGACATTGTTAAAGTTTAGCCTAATTACAAGAAACTTAACTTCTTCTCATCTTTTACAGTTTTCTTACAAAATCTGATTCTCTCTTTGTCTTATTTTTTTTATTGAATTTCAGCTTCTGTATTCGGAGAACAAAAGAGGTTAGAGCCGATGGCACCCGAAACCAAAGCAAGGTGGAGAAAAGAGATTGATTGGCTCTTATCAGTCACAGATCACATTGTTGAATTTGTTCCCTCTAAACAAAGGTCCAAAGATGGAACCAACATGGAGGTCTCTCTCTCTCTCTCTCTCTCTCTCTCTCTCTCTCTAATTTTTTAGTTCATATACCAAGGAACTGATCAGTTTTTTGTTTGGTACATTTCCTATTTTGCATGCATTCAAATCGTTTCTTCGCGCGTGATGTCTTTTTACAATTCGTACCTAATAAAATTAACGTGAAATCATTCCTCATGACCAGATTATGGTGACAAGACAAAGAAACGATCTCCACATGAACATTCCCGCTCTAAGGAAACTCGACGCCATGCTCCTCGTAAGAACTCTGTATTTTCTCAATCATATTTATTTATTTATATATTTTTTTTTAAACTTAATAAATAGTACTTGTTTGCCCAAAATCTGTGACAAATCAATAAAAACAGGAGTGTCTGGACAACTTTAAGGACCAGAACGAGTTCTACTACGTGTCTAAAGATGACGAGGATTCATCTAAGAAGGGTAAAACCGTAAGATCGGATAACAAATGGTGGATCCCCACACCTAAGGTACCACCAAATGGTCTGTCTGAGGCCACAAAAAAATGGCTTCAGTATCAGAAAGACTCGGTTAATCAGGTGCTGAAAGCTGCCATGGCCATAAACGCTCAAGTCCTGTCTGAAATGGAGATCCCAGAAAGCTATATGGAGGCTCTCCCTAAGGTACAAGTAAAGTAAACCAAGATAAAAATAAATAAATAAATAAATAATACACTGCAAACTCTTCATTATTTCTGAAAAAGCGCGAGATTTGTTATGTTGAACAGAATGGGAGAGCGAGTCTAGGGGACTCGATGTACAAGAGTATCACGGATGAGTACTTTGACCCAGACTACTTCCTGTCTACCGTGGACTTATCCTCGGAGCATAAAATCCTAGACCTCAAGAACAAGATTGAGGCATCGGTCGTGATATGGAAGAGAAAAATGAACGCGAAGGACAACAAGTCGGCTTGGGGATCGGCCGTGAGCTTGGAGAAGAGAGAGATTTTCGAGGATAGGGCCGAGACGATTCTGCTCATTTTAAAGCATCGTTTTCCGGGGCTTCCTCAGTCTGATCTTGACATCAGCAAAATACAGTGCAACCGAGTAAGCTCGATTATAAAAAAATCTCACACCTATGATTGTGCTAAGCTCGATTAACTTTTTTATTTTTTATTTTTGTCTTCAACCTACAGGACGTGGGGCATGCGATCTTGGAAAGCTACTCAAGAATCATAGAAAGCCTAGCATTCACGGTTTTATCAAGAATCGATGATGTCATGCAAGTTGACTCGCAAGCACAAAACCCGATGACAACTGCCGAGCCAATCTTGAAGTCACCCATAAGAGAGGCCTCACCCATAACCACACCCAAAGAAGAAAACAACTCGGCCGAAACTCCAACTTCAATGACGCTGTTGGATTTCATGGGTTGGAACTTGGACAAGTCCGAAAACGAGCCAAAAAAGGACTCCCCACATGACGAAGCCGATAGAAAGGTTGTTAATAAACCGGCCTACATCAACACGAACAAGAGGGTATCCTATATAGAGAGGCTAGAGAACTTAGGAGGCACAAGAAGCCCCACGGCCCGCCACTAGGAATTTTTTTATACCTCGATAGGTACGTGCCGGGACGCTTACTGAAAGAGCACGGACTTCGACTCTTGGTGTATATAAAATACGAAAAAAGAAGAATCTTAGAGGGCTTTGTTCTTTTTTTACTATTAATCGGTAGGTTATATTTAAATTCAAACAAAGCAAGTGTAGATGCCATAAGAAGTCATCATGTTTATGATTTTCCTCTGTCCTTGAGTGGATGAAAAGGCGATAGCTCGTTGTTTGTACTACTTAGAAGGAAGATGTATTTTGAATTATGTGCTCATGTGCTTAATTGTTCATGGGTGGAACACTCTAATTAATTCAATGCTCTTACTGGTCATTCTTGGCTACAACTGCAGCAGATCATCTACACAACTAAAATTTCTGCACAAGCATAAACTTGACTCAAACAAATTCTCAACCGAGTCCAAAACATAATATATGTATCATCGGTTTTTGTTATGAAGTCAGTAGTTGGCTGCATAGTACCATATTCTCTGATTACTTAATATGGTAGGTTTATTTGTTGTATATAAAAGACTAGTACAATACTCGTGTATTACACGAGTGCTTGTTAAAAAATTATTCTTAAATTTTAAAATTAATGAGAAAATTATATTAAATTTAGTTTACTTTTTTACAAAAAAAAAAATATATATTACTATATATTTTAGAATGATATGTGTTACTTATGACTTACATGTGTTATATTATATTAGTTTTTATAACTTATATCATATAACTACTTGAAATATAAATATATTAGTTGATAAATAATTTTATTTTTCTAATTAATAAATTTTATTATTGTTATAAAGATAAATATAAATTATTTTTTTTATACATACAATATGGATGTTAAATCGAAGCTTATCAAAAGAAGAATAATTTGATATATTACATATGTAAAACTGATAAAAAATACAAAAGTTATTAACTTTTAAAAATACAATTCAATAGTTATAATAAGGAATTATATTAAAATATAATTAATACATGTAACATGACCATAAATAATCAACATATTTATGGTAATCCGAACCTAATTATTTTTGGTTTAGAATTAAATTAAAATTTACTCAAGCCTAATAACCAAGCATGTAATTTTGCCACATAGGATTCAGAAACACCAGAAGCAGCCACGTAGGCTCAGCGCATTAAAATTTATTCAAGCCTAATAACGAAGTATGTAATTTTGCCACATAGGATTCCGAAGCACCAAAAGCAGCTACGTAGGCTCAGCGCATTCTGTATTAATATATATGGGGATTGGCTCCTCTATGAAGCCAATTGTTGGATTCATAGTAAAACTGCCCATCGTCAATAGTCCTCCTCATT